CTCGGCTTGTAAAATGATGCAGTCGGACCGAGCAGGGAAACAGACACAGGATTTTAATGAAATCATATGTATTTTATTTAGATCATGTTCTTATGGAATACCAGCGAAAAGTGATGTTAACTCCATTCAGGATCAGTCTTTCTGGTAGGGAAAATCTTGCAAATAATCCGAAAATGTCTCTATTTAGAGAATAAAGGGAAATCTTAGAAGTTACTATTGGTTAATGAGCTTGCTCGAGTGATTCCCACGGCTTAATAATTATCTTTACTACAGAAAAGATATTTTTCTTCAAATTGATGGAATACCACAAGGATCTAATTATTCATCATTCTTAGCTAACTTATTTTTGCATTATTATGAAAAAAATTATACTCTTAGTATTAAATTTGTTTTTAGATATATTGATGACTTAATTATCTTTAATTTTCAAGATTTTACTATTTTATTGAGTGATATATACCCTGAGGAATTAATCTTACTTCGTAATCATGATGATAATATTAATTTCAATTTTTTGGATTTGGGTATTATGAAAGTTGAAAATATCTGCTTTGTTGATTTATACGATAAAAGAAATGATTTTAATTTTAATATTAATAAACTAGTTACTTGGAATTCTAATGTTTCTAGGAGCATCTATTTAAATACCACTTTTAATGAAATGAACAGAATTAAAAGAATATGTAGTAATATTTATTTATCCAAAAAACAAATCGATAAACTCTTTCAAAATCTGATAAAAAACAATGGATACCCAACTAATGTAATAAAATTTTATATAAAATCATTGAATTAATCGTATATTTTGGTGGATATATTTTCTAAACATTTTTTTTTTTAATTTTTATGATTTTCCCATGTGCAAATCCATTTCAGGCCAAAATTCATTGCCAAAATTATTTACTAAATAATTTCTTTGTTAATTTATGTAATTTTTCCATGTGCAAATCCATTTCGGACAAATCCGTGGGTAAAATTATTTACTAAATATTTCGTTATTAATTTTTCCGTGTGCAAATCCATTTCGGGCAAATCCGTGTTAAAATTATCTACTAAACTTTCTTTCCTTTGATAATTTACATAACTTTTCCATGCGCAAATCCATTTCGGGCGAATCCGTGGCTAAAATTATTTGCAAAACAGGCAATTTATGTTTCTCTCTTCGATTTTATATTTTTTCTTAAATAAATATTTATTTATTTTCTAAAATTACTTATGGTCAACTTTTTAAATTATCCAGTATAATATTACCTTGTGCACATCCATTTCGGGCTCATCCTTGGTGACTAACAAATCAATGCACAGCATAACAAATCACTTCAGCAATGCAGTAAGAACGGCACTTTAAATTCCTCTAGTTACACTCAATTTGAGCTTTTGTTTTCATATTTTGTAATCTGGCAATCTTGTTACGAAAATCTTTTTAAATCTTTCTTGAAAAATTTCCCATTCATGTAAGTAAATCTGATTTCGCTACTCGCTTTAGAGATTTTGTTTTATACTTTTTTTTCTTTTTCTTTTATTTTATTTTTTGTTTTTACCTGTTATTTTTACTTATTGTGTTCTATTTTATATGTTGTAATTTTTATAAAATTTTTTTTTGAGTGCTCCTCACACTATTGTATTAATATATTTTGCTTTGGCTATATTGATACAATATCAGAAAGCACTCTTTTTTGCGGATATAATCGTGTGGGCTGATGAAAAGATTATATCTTTTATTTTCCAGTTTTTAAAAAAAAATTTCATCATTTTTTTTTCTATTATCATTCCCCCCCCCCTTTTTTTCCCACATGTCTATAATTTTCCTTAGTTTTATATTCATTTTGAACACACACACATCATTTCGATGTGAGGGTGATGTTAGTTGAACATTTTTTTTTCTCAGCAACGTGAGAAGAATATAATAAACTATTTTTGTATCTGTCCAATCTGGATCTCTCAATTTCCCTCTGCTTCATTAAAATTCTGTTTTCCTCCATTTTAATGGGGAATACAGATTTTCATCAAGTAAATAACCCCTTTTAACCACACAGAATCTTAAATTCTGAATAAGTGACACACGTTCTCCAGTTCATTTGCACAAAAATTTTGTATATTTTTGTGTGAAAAAACTTTTTGGAAAATTGTAGTAGATTAGTTATATAAATATGTTTAATTTTTCTTTCTGTTAGTTGACTAAACAGATAAATTGCATTATCATGTTTTTATATTTTTGTCATTGTAAAGAATTTTTTTTATTTTATTATTTTTTTTTTTGCATACAATTGTAAAAATATTATTTGTTGTTTGGAAAAGGAACAGTCGTACCAACCTAAATTTTATAAATTTAAAGTATTCTAAATTTTTTTTTGGCTTACCAAAATTTTTTTAGGGGTATAAATACTTTTGTATTAATAAAACCATTAAAACTCTTTCGTTTTCATAAAATGTCTTTGGTAAAGAATAGGTGTAGAAATTCTATTTTGGGACTTAGAGGCTGAAAACATACCATTGAATTATAATTAGATTTATATTTCAAAGGAGGAGTTATTTTTAGAATCGTGTCCCTATTTCACTTCCATATTAGGAAGCATTAAATGATTTTCCATGATGCGTAGAGTTACAAGGTATGTACGACTGGAACCTAATTACACCCTTCTCTATTAGTATTTAATGCGAGACCGATGGTTTTGGCATATCTCTTGCTGAATAACGTGTTCTAATAAACATCTGTCGGAACCATCTGGAGATTCGTCCACACCCCCTCCCTTGTGGAGTGGGGATGGGAACTGTTATAATCACCAGCCTACCTTTAAATAAACCTTTTTAAAACTTATTATTGCTTATGACTGCATTATTAAAGCTGAATACAACAATGATAACAGGGATGTAGCCCTGTTATTATAAGTCGACAGGATAGTTGCTTTCGGAGGAAACCTTCGCATCCCTATTTNTATATATATATATATAAAGAGAGATTTACAATGTTTTTATTTTTCAAATGTAACAGGTTTTTATTGCTCCCTCAAGTGATTTGCCCTCATTTCAGGAGCATCAAATCGAATGATTTACTCGGGGTATTCACATACCTCTGCACACTACTACCATTAGGCTGTATAGGGGATTTATCTTCCAGTGCTCATTTAGCATGATTTATTTTAAATCGCTTACAATGAGGTCATAGTAGTGAAGGTTTTGCGATAAACCTAGAGATGTAAAGGTTATATAAAAAAAAATCTATACAAAGAAAAGTTAAAAATGAAAGTGTCTCCAGTTCTTAATTCAAAGCATTGTTCAAGGAGAAGGCTCCTTACAATAGTCCTAAGTAAATTCCGGTTTCTTGAGTCATTTTTCATACATTTCTAATTTGCATAATAATAAGCAGTTGATTTTAATGTTTGTTGGCTTTAAATTCTGTTGCTTTGTATGTAAATTTTAATAAGACCTAATAATACATCAAGTTAATTGTGTAATCCTACACATATTTTATAATTAGCGCAAAGGCGATTGAGCTGATTATGATTAATTTAATTATACTAGCGTATTTTTCAACATAGCCTGGTGCATCGCAAGCTGTCGTCGCATTCACAAAGAGCCAGATTTTTCAATCAGTTTACGACATCCATAAATACAAATAGCAAGTAAGGTTTAATAAGTTTTGGTCACATTCCAAGCTAAATGCCTTAAGTTCTTTATGTAAAGTATAAATGAGTTTGCTATGAGAGGATAGCAGAAGCTGCAGATTTTGATTTCAAAAAGCAACGTTTCAAAAATGATTTATCCCAGCTATTACTTTCGTTCGTGAATAATAATTCTTCCAACTAATTCACCATAAGTCGTTCAAAAAATTACCGAGTCCTGTGTTCGAAATCTGTGAAGCGAGCTGAGCATTGTTCGAAATTGTGACACAAATAACTATCAAAACTTAAGATAGCTTCAAAAAGGCGGTCTATAATTCGAAACACGCGCAATCAAGGGTTTAACAAGCGGAATTCAGCTCGGAATTTCCGGCTTGAATATCAATCTTAACTTTCTTTTATCCATTGTTTTATTGTGGGGGAAAATACAACAATATTGTAGAATTCGGAAGATCAGAAACAAAAATTAACCCTTTAAACTAAGAAAAATTTCTTTTGAGAATAGATATACATTTTTTAAAAAATAGTGTGACTATAAGTTAAGACATTTTCCTTATAAATTTGAGATTTTACAGTTGGTACAACGTAACTTTTAACTGAAAACTTCACATCAGAACTCTGGTTCTTTACGTTAGACACAGTTTAAACGTTACGTTAAGTCAATATTTTTAACCATAAATTTGATGCTTTACGTTCGGCTCATTTTTTCGCTTTAATTTAATATTTTGCTCTCTAAATGTGAGATTTTAATCTTCGTACAATGTTGACTCGAATTGAATAGTTTATACATTATAAATTTGAAATTTTGCATTTAGTTAAACGTAAACTTTAATTGAATACAATAGTGTGTTCTCTGATAACCAGTTTTTTTTTAACAATAACTATAATTCAGCTTATTTTATTCATTTACAGCTTATGCTTACACCAAGAACAAATTTCGATCTATTAATTTAACTGTCTAACATAAAACCTAATTTTAAGACTATTATGATAAAATGATATTTCATTCTTCACATTAAATATTTTCAAAATAATGACAGCTGTTAACGAACTTCATTTATAAAATTGGGGTTGCTTCATAAAAATAAACAAATAAAACTTTCGATTATTTAGGGTCTTATAGCAGAAGAAATTATGAACAGTTGCTCCATAACACACCTTAAATACCCTTCACCATGCACTGGAGGTTGTGCTCCTCAGAGAGTAAATGTGTCTAGTCGGTGGTGTGATAACCAGTATAAAAACTGCACCGGTTTTTAAGGGCAATTTTGAGAATCAAAAGTTTTTAGATTTTTTATAACTGTTAAGAAAAAAAAGCATTCCATAATTGGCATCTTTCATATGAAAAGTGAATATTCTTTAAACATTTTTTTTTTTCAGATGCTGCCAAAAAGAACAATGATTACAAATTAGTGTGCTATTACGCCAACTGGTCTATTTATAGACCTGGTGTTGCAAAATTTACTCCTGAAAATATTAATCCCTTCCTCTGCACTCACCTGATCTACGCATTTGCTGGGATGAATAAAAACTATGAATTCAAACCTTTCGATTCATATAATGACATACAATTAGGTAAGATTTCAAATGAAGTAAAAATTGAATCATTGTAAAAATATGTTTTTAATAAGATGTAAATTATTATGAAAATCATTTATTGCGAGTGCTATTTTGCATAATAGCAGATAGTGAAATAGTTGAGAGATATGTTATCGTTTTTATAAATGTTTTTACTTAAAAATGAAATTTTTCATGTTTTAGGAAATTATGAGAAATTTGTAAATTTAAAAACATACAATCCAAAACTGAAAACGATGATAGCTATAGGAGGTTGGAATGAAGGATCAAAAAGGTAAGAATCTTTTACTACTGTTTAAGAATTTAATAAACAATTTAGACAAGTCTGTTTTGGATTGATATTCTAATAACTGAAATTCAATGAAATGCAAAGGTAAGTTAATATTGATCTAATAAATAACTTTAATTTTATCGAATATGCATGGTCCCATTCCCTCCAATAATTTTAATGTCTAGGTAATGTTTAGTGTATGATTAAGTGATTTGGTTGCGGACTTTTATGTACCATTCACGAATTCAGAAAGAGCACTCTGAACTTCAACCCTAAGAGGTGGTGTTAGACGAGTTTTACTATATCCAAATAGATTTTTTAAAGTTATATTTACAATACCCTCACAAATATTGTCAGACTATTTTATAACAGTGAACCGAAGTTTTTTTTTTTCTTTTCATATTACGTTTAGTAACGTCACTGAAATTAGCAACTAAACGTGTATCTATTTCATTCTTAACGTTAATGTGTGCAATTTAGTTGAATAATTTTTTTTCCATCTTATATCTAGTACCGTTTACGAGAGGAGAATTCTGATTATGGTTGAAAATGTTGTCACTAGGTGGCACTGTAAGCGGGCAATTCGATATGCATACACCTACACACATTAGTCGAACCTCATTAACGCGAAATCGCTTAACGAGAAATATTGCTTTACATGAAACGTTTGTTTGGTCTCGTGAGTCAGCAATCAATTAATATTGTATTTTACATGTTTAACATGAAATTTTCAAACTGATTATTACTCATCATGAAAGGAAACTGGACACGACACAGATAAAAAGCATGTGAATAAAGTGCAAATTATTCATTTTGAGGAATGCTATTTCTAGTTTCCACCTTTGTTAGAAGTCACAGATGGGTTAATGAATAAAATAGTGAAATAAAATAATTAAAATTTTGTAAGCTTATTTTAATTTGTTTGGTACATAACAGTATTGTTTACAGACACAAATGTATTAATAGTACGTATATAAATTGTTTCCATGATGTATTGGATAAGATCAAATCAGGTTGACATGAAATAAATATGACAGGCCCGCCGATTTCGCGTTAATATGGTTCGTATTTTTATGTCCTTCTACTGAGAGAAGACGATTGATAGCCAAATCCAAATCATCATAAATGTTACAAAGGATAGTTACGTGAAAACTGAAAAAAGGGAGTGTATATATATGTGTGTGTGTATACACATAGAGCGATAGCTATTGTGGGAAAAAAGCTTAGCGTTTCTGGCTAACTTTTTTTTTTTTGCTTGGCTCAAATGTTGCAATGGTGTATACATGGAGTGGACAAAATAATGGAAACACTTCTATACTAATAAATTTTTTCATCTTTCTCAAGAAAAACTAAAATAATCATTTTTTATCCTCAGACATGTTTAGATCATGTGGTTTCTCATACATATCAATGAAGTTTAAAACTTTTAAAGGTTTGAGGGACCGACAATAAATTACAAACGGAAAATCATGTTTTTGAACACCCTCTGCTAAAAAATGTATCAATAGATTTTTAACTTGTGACAGCTATTTTGGTTGTTATATGCAATAACTGCACAAAATTTCACAATCTCAGCTTAAATATTTATGGATATTTTTATATTAAAATAACTTTTTTTTCTTACGTTTTTTTTGCTGTAACTTTAAAACTATTCAATAAAATAAAACAAAATTTTCAGTGCAATTTAAAATTAATTACAAATATTTTGCTTTAAAATTTGAAGAGAATATTGAAAACTATGCAATAGATAAGTATCTAAAGAAGTTCTTTGATACTCCGCTTACATGGAAAAAAATTTGTTTTCCTTTTTCCTAATTTTGTAGTGAATTGTATTGTATTATTTTTTCTTACAAATTTTAAAACAATAATTTTGCATTCAATTTTAAATTGCTCCAAATTTTTTTTAATTTTATTGAATAGTTTTAAAGTTCTAGCAAATAAAAAAAAACGCAAGACAAAAATATTTGTGTTTTTATAAAAAAATCTTTATAAATATCTAAGCTAGGTTTACGAAATTTCGTACAATTGTTGTATATAATGATCAAAATAACTATGATAAGTTACGCATTTATTGCTATATTTTTTATCAAAGGGTGTTCAAAAACACTATTTTTCCGTTTTTAATTTATTGACGGACCCTCAAACCTTCAAAGTTTTAAATATCGTTAATATATATGAAAAATAACATAACCTAAACATTTCTAAATTTATAAAATGATTTTCTAAATATTTTCGGAGAAAATTCGAAAAACGTGTTATTTACATAGTATAGAAGTGTTTACATTATTTTGTCCTGTATTTGAGCTAATTTTGTTTCTATATAATTTGTTTCTTAAATCATAAACCTTTGCAGATTTTCTCAGCTTGTTGAATCGAGTTCTAGTCGCTTACGCTTCATCCGAAGTGCTGTCACCTTCTTAAGAAAGCATGGATTCGATGGACTGGATCTGGATTGGGAATATCCAGGGTCACGTGACGGTGGGCAAGACACTGATAAGGAAGGGTATGCAAAATTAGTTCAGGTAAGAGATTTGAGTAGCAATCATTTATAAAATAATAAAAAGCTCTTAAAATATTAATATACAATGAAAGGAAGAGTATAATCTAATGTCATTACAAGATTTTTCTTACGCTGACTGAGGTATAATCTTAAGTAAGATATAAATTATTAGCGCAATAGTATAAATATATAATTAATAGAACAAAGAATTTTTTCCCGTTACTTAAGTACAGACTTAACTGTTCAGGATTTAAGCAATTTCTTTAGCATCATTATGAAAAATTCAACTAAAATTGAAACAACATAAAGTTTTTACGCATATGGAGCTTATGTTTGCACATTTTGCTACATGTATGTAACATTAAGGTGTATTTTTATAATAACTCTCCGACTGTGCTGAGATAACTACTAAATTTAGATTCACAAAGCTGTACTGTAGATTCACTCTATAAATTCTGCTTTCAGGCTTACATCTCTCCAAACTTTCATTTCTTTACTTCTATTCTTAAGATTTTTTTTCTTCTCACCTATCACAATTTGAAAGCAGTTGTTCCCTTGGTCACCAAGGTTTATTGGAAAAGAAATAAGGTTTATAATATGAACCTTCTTACATAACAATATCTCCTCAACAACCAAAGCTTTCTGACAGGGTTCTGTTTTAACACACAGAGTTTCAAAAATAGTGCAAGGAAAATTTTTAAACTTTCTAATTACAGCATAAAAAGGGAACCTTATTCACCATACCTTTACAATTCTGCATTAAGGTAAAGGAGGTTACTATAAAACTGTGTTACACATAGTAACGCATTCACGTTTATTATTCGTGTGCATTAAAATTTTGTATTATGTATGTCCGAGCAGTAAATTTTAGTCAGCCATTTAACTGCATACATCAAGTTGTAGCCGCAACAATTTTTAAATTTCAGGAACTGCGAGAGGCCTTTGATGATGAAGATGTTCCACGGGGAAAATCTAAACTACTTTTAACAATGGCCGTGCCTGCTGGACAGCAATACATTGATAAAGGATACGACATACCCTCCCTATCCAAGTAAGCCATGAAAAGTTAATTCTTCTATCTTTTGTTGATATCATTTCTTATTCTTAAGTTTCAACAAGCTCATCACTCTAATCCGTTTTATTATATAAACGTAATCCTAAATAAATATTTTTAATTCAGATTTAGCAACGCAAGAAACGAAATATTGTATAATCTCTAACTCAAACATACATTTATATATTTTGCTTCTTTACAAACACCGTCTTATTTTAAAATGCACCAGACTGTTTGTATTTAGTATAATTTTTAGGTTTAATATAAATAGCGCCTTCAGGCTAATTGAAAAATACACAAAAATTTACTCTATCAGCCTAAATTTGTAATGAACCTCGTGTTTGAATAGAGAAATATAGTGAATTTAATTGATTGAGCAATGAATGACATATTTTTTAATTGGCCTAAAATACTCGTATGAGCTAAATGCATACAATAAGCCAATTGAAAAAAAATTTATATATTTTTGAAATAGCTTAAAATTATTTGGACTCATTGCAAAAAACTTAAAAAGTGATAGGTTGATTAGAAAATGCTGGAGACTTTAGCTATCAGAAAATTAACGAAGACGGTTTGCAAAGAGCTAAATTTGTCCATAATACGTGTCAAAAATGAAGCCAATAAAATAAACATATGAAGGGTTGCAAATAAACGAAAATCTAATCAATCACTAACCAGGAAGCCGGGATTGAAAACATTAAAACCTGTTAAATTATCAGAGGAAACAAAAAAGCCAACGGACGGCAATTATTATCGAAACATTTCTTAGTTTCATCAGGCAATCAAACTGATGTTGACTTTTTTTTAATGATGTTAAGATTAATTTTATGTAATTATTTATTTCATGAATTCAATGTTTATTTTTTTTCTGTTTCAAAAAAGGCTGTCGCTAATTTCTTAAAAATAAACATTGGTATAAGGTTGAGGTGCGCCAAGAATTTCATTTGAATGAAAGAAAAGCGTTATTTAACTATGAAATATGTGTGCACATTTTTTATAACACTAAACACTATATCCAGTGCAATTCACATATTTATTTTTATAATTGTTATATTAAGTATTTTCTGTACAAGTCATAAAAATAAATGTTTCTATTCAGATAAATTTCATTTTAATATTAAATGATAAAAATATGTAGAGCAAAATAAATACTTTGCTATTATTTATTTTTCCGTTCGTTCAGAAAATACTTTTAAAAGAAAAACGCTTTCTATATCAGCGTTCAAAAGCTATTAAGCATTTTAAACCTAAAAACGCTTATTATGAAATAGTACAAAATCAGTAGTGTTCTTTAGATTATTTTGAAGATTTTAGTAAACAAATAGTATTCATCTTTAAATAGATATAAATCAGTGCAAAAAATAATAATTTATCATTTGATAAGTTTACTCTTTTAATGCTCCAAAACATTTATAAAAATCCTTTGCAAATTTCTTTTTAAGTGAAATTTTATTCCCATACAGTCTTCTTGAAATCGTATAACAAACATATTGCGTGCGATTTAACATTTAAAAAAAGGTCTTTAAGAAAGTTTATTGTATTTCTTTGATAGAAATTTGGATTTCTTCAATATGCTTACTTATGATTACCACACATCTCATGAGGCAACGATAAACCACCATGCACCCTTACGTGTCATGCCGGGAAATTTGGAAGAGTGGAATCCAGATAACTTTCTAAATATCGTTAAGTATTGATATGATGTTCTTTTGTATTAATATGTGCTTATGAAAGTATTTTAATTAACTATCGTTAAATATCGCCTTTTTTGGTGTATGTTCATTTTATCATTATTGCTTCAATAAATGGGATTACCCCTGGGCATACATATGAGTCAATTGAGCACTCTAAGTGTTAGAAAACAACTTACTTTAATCACTTTTAACAAATTCTTTCATTACTACCTACTTTGAGAAATTAGTTGCAAAAATCGAAGTGAGTGCATCCTAGATAAAAACATTTAGTTTTCTGTATAGTGCTATAACTAGGAGATTTCTAATAACTGCTATATACGTACATTGTCTCCAAATATACGAGCTCGAATTAAAACTCAATGTATATTTAGAGACGTTTCTAGTATTTCAGAAGTAAGTGGTCTAGAATAATAGAAGTCGTTTAAGCGGTTCCTCGAGCGTTAAACGCCTCTGAACTAATTGTGGCCATCCATTCTAAACCATATTGAATTTTCAGCTCACATCCATTCTTAGTTGAACTTATCATTCATTCTAAACCATATAGAATTTTGACCTCACAGAAGGATTGAAAGTCAGGATTATAGGAAAGGCGGTCAACTTTGCGCTCCAGGAATTTTTTTGAGCTCAAAGACGTATTCACTTCGGACGTCTCCTTGATACATTATAACAATAAACGTGTAATCAAAGCAATAAGGGAACATCGAGATTCAAGGAAAAGGCTACTATTTTTCGAAATTTGAATTTGTCTCCATGTAACTTCCAGATCTTCGGTAATTTAAAAAAAAGCACTGTGCTGATTCAAACGAAAGTAGGAGCAATGTTTTTTTGTTGAAGCAATTTCGGGCATTAGTTTGAGGTGCTGTTAAAAAAAAAAATATGAAGATAAATTAGGCTACTGTCAAGTTTTTTAATAACTTAAGCTATAGTCCGAGAGTCACAAAAATTCAGTCACGTTAATAGTTTTTTATGTGCCATTTTCAAAAAATTTGCATATTTGATGTCCAATGACTTTAAATTTTAATTTCGGAAATAAAATTCCTAATAATATTTTTAAGCATTCAAATTAATTTATTATATGTTTTTAGTACAGATACATAGAAATTAGTCTTTTAATGCGACAGATACAGATAAGGCTAAATTGCTATGTTTTCTTATTTTACTACAATTAAACTAACTTTTAATCGAAAGTAATTTTATCTATTAGTAAAAATTGTGTTATACGTAATATACAGCATAACGTATCTAATATGGAGTTTTAAAACTACTTTGGAATCAAGCATTTTAATGTTGACCCAGAATTTTCTTCTCTCTGCTACCATAATTATTGTATTTAATTATTTCTGTGGAGTTGGCAGAAAATGGGTTCCCTGGAGAGTCTAGTTTTAGATAAGGTAACCATTTAAAAAATTGTCATTGCTGGGGAAAAAAAGCTTTGACAATGTAAGGATGTTAAATTCATGCGAGTGCCCGAATGAATTTAAAGACTGATTTGAGACGTCTTTCTATTTGTTGGCCACCTGTCTCATCAGAACTGGTCAAAAGTATTGAAAGTCTTGCGGCCTTGCGGAATTTTGTTTTTAATGTAAATTTGTAAATTTTTTGTTTTCTACTTACAACTGTAAGCCTCATGCTATACTTTGTGGTGCATGAGGAGTTTTAAGTCGTTTAAATAAAATAAAAAATGTAAGGATGTTCTCTCTCTCTGTTACAAGCATAATTGTTTCAAATTTATTGTTCTAATGTTTGGTTTTTATATGATACACTTTACACCAATTTACACTTTTTTTTAAACATTTTTCTTATAATTTTTTTTTTTTTAAATTGAACCTGTTCAAGTCAATTGACTTTTAGTTTCCTTTTCTCTTGTGTTACTCTTCCAAGCTGTTATCATTATTTAACGACTTTTAGTTTGGTGTATTATTACATAGTAAAAGAAATACATATAAAAATCAATATTTGTATGATTAAAATTCAGTCATTGGCAATTAAAAATTAGCTCTACTAATAGCCATCTCTCTTTCCCCAACCAAGCTTTATTTCTCTATATAATTTAACGAAAGGAACTTTAGTGATTTACAGTGTAAGCTGCTTAATGTTTCCGGTAAATAATTTTTTTTATTTAAACACTTTTGAACATTGATAACAGAGAGGAACATAAGTTAATGTTTTATTTTGTGTTCCAAATCAAAAAGTGCTCAGCTGCCTCCTACTGGGTAACGCTGACCCTGTAAGATATAGATAATCTAAGACAATTGTTTTTCCTACAAAAGACTCACTTTAAGGTTTTTATCCATAGGAATGGAGTGTGAAGTACTACATCAAAAAAGGTGCTGATCCAAAGAAATTAGTTCTGGGTATTCCGACCTATGGTCGCTCCTTTCAATTGGCTGATCCGGATGAAACGGATATTGGAGCTGCTGCTGAAGGTGCGGGAGAAAAAGGGGATGCTACGAGAGAAAAGGGATACCTCGCATATTACGAAGTACTTCGCTGCTATACATTTCTCTTTGTATCGATATTTTTGAAAATTCACTGTTTATTGTAAGACGGTTGAAATAGCTTTCAATAAGTCATCTGCGCCAGTTGTTTGAGATTCAAATAATGATAAAGTCTTCGGTTTCAAAAATGTAAAAACTTGGATAAATAGAAAATAATATTTTTGACATTTCAACTATTTTATTAATAAATAAAATGATAAACTGCAAAAAGAAAAACTTTTTAAAAATTAATTTCCATTTTACTTTATAACATTATTTCCTTTACTTCATTTTATATATTTTAAACGGGTGAAGAGTTTTAGGTTTGCCAATCCGCAGTGAAAGTGTTTCGTATGAATGGAGATCGTTTTTTATATTCATATTAAAATGCGAAATGAAATATTTAAATAATAGTCTACGAACTAAACGCTTTCTAAATAATAAATTTCTTTGGATTTAATTTTTGAATACATAAATAAATTCGTTCGGATGCCAAAGATAAACTAAATAAAAATTTTGCCGTCTAATTGCAAAAAAGGTTGCAAATTAAAAAACATTGTCGTTAAATAAACGATTTATCTTAATAAATGCATTCTCTATTTCTAGATCTGTCAGAAGATTCAAGAAGAGGATTGGGAACTAGAAGCTCCATACCCTAACATCATGGGCCCATTTGCCTACAAGGACAACCAGTGGGTCGGATTCGATGATGAGGATATAATTATTGAAAAGGTTTCATTTCATTCCTCTTTTGCTAATTTCTTCTTCCATAGAACAATCGAGCTTCGAACAACGCAAACTTTAAACCCCTCCTCAATAGCACAGCCATAAAAAAGCAAATTATCTCCCTCCCTTCGAAATAATAATAAATAAATAAAAAGGTGCTTTAAAAAATTTTTACAGTAACATTATCATTTTAAAAAAGTTCAGAAATCGTCATTTATGGTGAAAATGAGGAAGTCTGATCTTATCTTTTTAACCAACGATTAATGATTTAATCAAAAAGTGAGTAAATATTTAGTAAATGTGTTTGTGGGTAAGTTAGTAATTTGCCTGTCTTCCAGCCGGCACAAATCTATTTTTTTTCTCGAAACTCCTCTTTCACCCACCCATCTATTTATTTTGTTTAGCACAGATCTTCCTTTGTTACGTCGGGTGCCCAATAAAATGAAAGAAATTAAATGAAGTGTATGAAGGGCTTTTAAATGATGGGTATTTCTTCAAGAATTGGAGTTAATTTTTTTTTTAAAATAGAGCTTTGCTTGAAATGAGCTAGAAGATGTTTAAAATAATTATTAAGTATTTGTTCTGAAATGTTTCCAATTTTTTTATTTTAGTTTAGTGGAGGTTCTAACATTCAGCCACACACAAAAGTATAGAGTGAACAACATCTGTAAAAACGCTTATTTCTTGTGTTAATTATTATATTTTAGGCTCTCCAAAATTGTTACGGCTTCTGAAACAGGTTGAGTTACAGTCGCTATGAAATTAATCACAGACTCTTAGTTATTGTAGTCACTACAATAATCCAGACCAAAATCGATACCATATACTTGTCTAAAATAATGAAAGTTAGGTAATCCATGTTGATTATCAGCAATGATCAAAACGGAAATTGATTTTATATGACTAATTTTAAATTTTGTGTTTTTAATGCTGTGAAAAAGTTAGAATGCCTCTACCATTAAATATTTCTCTATTGCAGGTAAGATTTATAATGCAAGAGGGCTTAGGAGGTGGAATGGTATGGACTCTTGATAATGATGATTTTAGAGGCAAGTGTTATGGTGAGCAAAGCCCTCTTATAACAACGCTTAAAACGGCCCTCGAAGAAGGGCCAGCGTTACTAGCGCAAACAACAACTTCCGCTCCTAAACGGCAAACTGCTGCAAGAACCAGCAAACGACAAGAAAGTAAAACCACCGCTAAGCCTACAAAATCAACAACGCCACCTCCATTTACAACTCCTGATCCTGGAGCACCATTTGAATGTGAGGACGAAGGCTTCTTTAACAATCCAACGGATTGTAAGAAGTATTTTTGGTGTTTGGACAGTGGACCATCCAATTTAGGATTGGTTGCGCACTCTTTTACATGTCCATCGGGACTTTTCTTTAACAAGAATAGAGATTCTTGTGATTACGCAGCCAATGTGGTTTGCAAGGTTAAAAAAGCAGCAGCAACGACTACAACTACTCCTAAACCACGACCTCGCCCACGTACTAGAAAACCAACTACTACGACCACTACCACGCGTAAGCCGAAGCGTACAAGAACAACTCAACCTCCAAAAGAGATACCAAATGATTTAGATTCATTCAAACTTCCTGTTGATGGTGGAAACAGTCAGAATTTGATGGAACTGTTACAACTTTTACAGCAATTGAGTGGAAATCAAATACAGGATAAACTCCATCGAGGAGAATCCATTGAAGCAACATCAACTATCAATCCAACATTGCCACAATACAGGTCACCAAGCAGACGTAAACCACAAGCAGAACAGCCATCGACAAAAGCTGATTTGTTCAACCAGTACGCAAAACCAGACAGATCAGAAGGAAAAAACGACGAATCATTCCAACCTCATATTAGTACTGTTAGACCGAGAGGACCACAGTTCCATAACACTGGGGAAGAAAATGACGCAGATGATGATGAATTAACAGAAGAACACACGGCTACTTCTCCAGCTGATGCAGCTAAACAAGGATTCGATTTCCCTTTTGTCTATCAGACACCGAGCAGGCACAGATCCGTACCGACTGTTGAAATAGAAGAAATTCTTGAAGATTACGACGATGTGACAACGGTTAAGCCGAAACCAACTCCTGCCACAAGAAGAGTGGTCGTCAAAGTTCGACCGATGGCAGAAGGTAGTAGCAGAAGAAATCCACCCGGTACTATGCTGATATCGACAAACGCAGAAAACCGTAGGAATAAATACGTACTAGCACAAACTGTTGGAGTTCGCCGATTAGTAAGACCAAATGTTTTAGATGACACAACGACCAAAGAAATATTAACCAGTTCCGAGAGGCCGTCCAGAAGAGCAAAAATAGTTACTCGACCACCTGCCATCAGAACAACTCCAACTGTAAGATTCAGAGGTCCACCATCCCCTAAAGATCTGGTGAGAGTTGAGTCTTTTCTCTTTTTTTTTTTTACCAAGATTTGTTTTGAAACATTTCTTACAAAATAAGCTACAAGTGTTTGGTAATAAATCCAAATTTCAGCTGAAAATAATCTTTATTTGTACTCCTGCAATGCCTAAGTAGTAAAAAAAAATTTTTAGTGAAAGAATTTACAATTAAATCCGGAATTATCCTACAAGTATTCTAGACTTATGATAGCGAAAATATATTGTAGCTCTAGTAATACGTATATAAATTCAGGTTTAGAATTAAACTGTCAGAATAAACCACAGAGGGTTTTCTCAACTCACTTATGCTGTATATGTAAGTTAGTCTTGGACAAAAGTGTTATAAGTTCTAAACTGTGTTTGCAACTTGCTTTTAATAAAAGTAAAAAAAAAAAGTTTGAAAATTAATAAAAGTAAAAAAAAAAAAAAAATTATTTAAGATTTACCATCTAAAAAAAGAAAGAAAAAGGATACGTTTTATCTCTTTCAGGCCCTATTGTTTAATTAACCAGTCTAATTTATATAATAATATTGCTTTGATGTTTGCTTACAGATTGTATTACCTACCGGAAGACCAGCAGTGCCAGCAACCACAAGGAAATACACACGCTATATTGTGGAACCAAGAGAGCCAGCTTTGGCACTTTTGCCTGATGGATCAGTCACCTGTCTCCGAAGAGGAGTGTATATTCACCCCAAAGACTGTGCCAAATTTATTGTCTGCGTACCAGCAGAAGACAGTGACGAGTTCGATGGATTTATTCACGATTGTCCAAAGAACTCTTATTATATGGAGCACAAGGGAAGGTGCCTTCCTGGTGACAGAACTGACTGCACACCGAAAGGAGCATAATTGTGATACTGTGGCAAATGAGATGATTGGATCGATTTGTAGTCATCGTATACCTCATATTGCTATTCTCTAAACTTTTTGGATTACATGACAAATTTCTTATGCTTAATAAATTAGGAAGTTTGTAGTAAAAGCTTACAAGGGTACTTCTCTGAAGGAGGACGTTAAGAACAACTAATTCTGAATTCAATTGTGTTACACACTAAACGTTCACTACTTATACAATATAATTTTTTTTATTTAAAAAACACAAGCATAAAATTTTTTATTAAATTTTAAGATATCAGATTATCAAAACACAATAAATATATGAGAAAAACTACCGGCGGACAATCCTATATTTCACATGCAAGAAAATGGCATTTTGTTGGAGAAATAGTTCATAAAATATAAGAAAATATACTTAATTTCAAGAAAAATTATTTTAAGTACTTTAATTTATTTTATGTTAAAATAACAGCGTGGTTTCACATGTTTCTTTTTGAACATGCATTAAAACACCAAATTGCTTGTTTAGTAAAATATAACTTACTATTTATTGCTGTCATTTGTTAAGGATCTTATCAAATAATCATCCTATTTAAACTTAATATTCTTATTTTTAAACATTCAAACATCATTAAAGAAAGGTTTTATTCATTTCTCTTTTTTGCTTAAAACATGGAGACAGTGAATATGAATGTCTAAAAGTGTCCTTTTCGGTTGCAAAAAAAAAATTTTTTTTTTAAAAAGGTATTTATAGAAAACTATTGCAATAATTTATGTTAATCCCTATCATCAGACAGAATTATAAATCAACTCTAAAACTTTTACAGTGGACTAAATTTAAACCTAATAGTTGAAAGAGATTAAAGTTTAGATCTTTGTTATGCTCCCACTTTTTGAGTACTGCCCTTTTATTGAAACATTTTAACGATGAGGAGCATTAAAATAATTCAAGATGACTAAATCTTTAGAAACAATTGAACACAGTTTGAAATTATATGGACATTATAATAAAGGATGTGCAATATGGTAAATCATGGGAAAAAATCTAACACTTTGAATAATTTTAAACTAATAATATGATTTTTGGTGATATAATTGAATTATTGGGCACAGATTATCCAATAATTCAAGATTATTATGCATTGAAGATTTTCGAAGATTATCCATTAGGATTTTCAGGGTTTCAAGGGGACATGCTAATAAATTTCTGTCTACTTTTTAGAACTTTTTTCAACTTCGAAGCACAAATTAAATTTCTCTTAAGAAACATAATCTCTCCCCTAACAAATTAAGATATATTATCCTAAAATATGGGAGTAGATTGTAGGCTCATATCCAGAGGGAACCAGATAGGACTGTGCTCCACCCAAAAGAATCATTTGCCCCTAAAAAGATATTAAGAAAAATTTAATTTCATCAATTAAAGTTAATATTTATACTAATTTTTAATTATTTATATTAATATATTTTTTATACCATTTAATAAAAAATTAAGCAGTTAAATGCTAAATTCATAAAAAAATATTTACAGAAGTTCGTTCAGCCAATTAAGAATGCAATCCCCCACAAAAATGTAAGTTCACAGTGCTCCTGATTTCAGATAAGTTTAATGAGAGAAAATACTTTTTTAATTAATAGTTTGAACAAATAGTTAAGACCTTGAAGACAACCCATTATAGCAAATGATTATTCAGATTGTTGATTTTGTTGCTCATTAAATCAGCTCTGTTACTGTTATGGGCAATCAGAGATTATTTTAAGTTAGAAATTAAAATTGGTTAGGTGAGACAATATGGACTGTTGAAAATTACTACTTGTTTGAGAGCATCGTTTTGTTTCCTTCATTTTTTTAAAAATTTAGTGAGGATTATTAATATATTTATACAAAACTATTGTTAAAAAATTGCCGTTGCGTTTAATGAAAGTTTATACAGTAATGATAAACTTTTGTGCAGTTTCACTTATAATTATTTTGACCAAAACATAGATAGATTCACTTTCGTATAAATTTAAAATTTTAAAAACAACATATTTTATTTTTGTATAACATAGTCAAACAAATATCTTAACAATATCTTAAGTTTTTCATAAATTACTTTAAAAAATGCATACATTTGTGAGAAAATAAGTTTAATTTTACATCTTATTTTTAATCTCAAACTGCCATGCTACACTAGTTATAATAATTTTAATTATAACATTTAATTTTCCACGATTCTCGCCCACGATTCCCATGGAAACTTGATGAGAATTTGTTACATTAACCTTTGTTTTTAAAGGATTAGCTGAATGTAAATAAGTATGGTTGTTGCTTTTTGTTTGTTTTCAGAAAAATGGTAGCTCAATTTTTCTGTTTACTTAGCGTAAAGTTTAGTAAATAAATTGGGAGGATGTACTTTTTTGCAACAAAAAAAAATGACAGTATATGTATTATTGTATTTGTTATTCAATGTCAAAGTCTTGTCAATTAAAAATTTTATTTTTAATATTTGCCTCTTTTTTATTTAAATTGGAATACTGACTCATTCCTTTGGTAACTAGCTAACTGATACATTCCTTAGGTACACATAAACATTTTGTAACTTGAATCATCGAACAAAAGCATTTTGAAAATAAAATACATATCAATGATCTACTTTACAAATGTCCAAAATGTATATTAAAGTCCATATGAATAGAATATTTGCAAAGATTGCCATTGATATACTATGTTTAGATAAAAACAAAACTTGATTAATTAAAGAACTTTTCTAGTTAAATTTTAATTTGTCAAAAATTTACAATTAGCATAAATTAAATTTTTTTAAATAGATAAAATATCAAAAAATATATAATTAATTATGTTTCCTGATAAGTACAGCATTTAGTACAGCCACAAATTACTCACATAGAGGGTAAACGGTTTTACACTGAATTAAAAGATAAAATACTAAACAGGAAGGAAAAAAAAATTAAAATTTTCATTTTCAAAAATAAAAAATGCAAGTTTTATTTTCTACACTTCTATTCTGTAGCATACTTCCAACACAAAAGGTAATGTAAAACATAACATGTCATCAGATGTATTCTCCAAAGATTTAACATGTTCAATGCACTAAAACATATTTACTAACATAAAAAAAACACACTATATATATATTCATATTCTGATAAAAAGATAATATTCATAGTTTTCCCAATATCACATTTCCTTAATACTTTTGTTAAAAAAATAAGTGTTTGAAATATCCTTAAATTATAATTTTAAAAATGAATGAAATAATTGACAAATAAACAAATGAAATTACATAATGAATTAAGTATGCGTAAAATGACTAGTACTTGGTGTTAAAAAATACACTGAAATAATTCATTACAATATACTCTATTTAAATAGCAAACAATGAAAAAATACGAAATGAAATTTTCACATACAAAATGGGAAATTTCTCACAAAACTATAAACATACAAATTTATTTCATAAATAAATGATATCAGCCTGTTTCAAATAGTATCATAGAGTAAAAAATAATAGAATTCAGTCGATAGTATAACAAATGATAAAAAATAACACAATTTAAAATCATTAAGTCAACTATATTTTTTGAAAAACAATTTAAATAATTTGATCATACAGCTAATAAAACTATCTGTATATCCTTGTTGCTAAAAATTATCATTAATTTACATCATAAAATGAATTTAATTAAAAATATTATCAAATAAAATCACCAAACACATTTAAGAATAATTTAAAAAAAGAAAAAAAAATTATTTAACGTTAAGAGGGAATTCAGAAAATGTACTATAACCTTTTCCCCACTTTTATTCTAAAATGTGTGCACTTAAAAGTAGTAAAGAATACACTGACTTTTTTTTATGGTAGAGTTCATGGTAGGTTCTATAAGTGCCCACTGATTAATTTTTAATGAAATATTAAACTAAAAAAATTCTGTAATTTGATGACCCTGATTCATTTTCTCTTGTTTACATTTTTCTTTCAAAGAGAAGCTTACTGAGAATGATTGGAATGTTTTAAAAAAAAAAAAAAAAACAGGAAATATTGATTAAAATGAAAATTGAAGAGCTTAAAATACTGATTCTCTAAGAAAGCAGTGTAGGGGTATGAAGAACCTTTTTTTACAAAATAACTTTTTAACATAATAAAATTACTAAGCTGACATTATTTCGACAATTTGATGACTCTGGTTTGTTTTCCTAAACATGTTTTTAAATAGAACATTACACCAAATTGATTGGAATATTTAATGAGCAATAATAAGCTGAAAATAATGATAAATTTAAAACATTGAAAGTAGATAGGGGTAAATAAAAATAAAATGATTGAATATTTTCAATACATTTACCTTTAAAACACAAAATTAGTAAAACTTGTTTTTGTGCTTATAAACATAATCTATTGATAAAATTTGTCACTACATAATGCAATCATATTAGAATAGTAATAAATAACCCTATAGCATTTTTTGAACAAAATAAACTTTTTTTAAAATCTGACTTAAATTCTTTTCTCTTCTATTATTAAGGGAATTGTCTTTGTACCACCTTAGTAACAGAAATCTTCCAGAATGGAAGCGAGAGCTGCAGGTTTTTAAAAAAAAAAAATTCACAATGCTTTAAAACAAATTTTCATCTTAGATTTAAAAAAAAAAAAAAAAAAAAAAAAAAAAAAAAAAAAAAAAAAAACAAGCCTAAAATATAACATGAGAGAGGAAACAGAAAAATCATTTTTAATTCGGAAACTTACTCAATTACTATTTGTTTCAGATCCTTATCAAATTTGTCAGTCGGTCTGCAGCTATATCAGCTAAAGAAAGGTGATGACTGTCAAAAATTCCTAATAATAGTATTTTATTAACTGGAACATAAAAAAATATTAAAGAATAAATTCTTAATTTTCAAAACTAATTGCTTGTAAAGAGACTTAATCCATCTCCAAAATTTTAATCTATTCATTTAAAAGAGTAAAAAAAAATTTATGGCAAAAAAAAACAACGAATTTTTACAATAATAATCTCAACCTCACTTTGTCAAATTTGTACTGAATATTGAACCTGTAAATTTTGTTACAGGGTAAACCATCAAATCAACGATGTAGCCCAATTACATTTATATTATGATTTTTAAATTAATTATTCAAGAAATAGATAAGTAGTAGGAAATGCCAAGTTTAAAGAACCCATAGAAAATTGAAGTTGTGAGTTATTTATTTGAGACTGGAACTGTAGAACTTTTACAAATTGACAGAAAAGACAGTTTTTTTTCTACTTTTTTTTAAATGTAGTAGGTTTGAATTTTTAATAATTTTAAAGGACAAAATTTCTACTTTTTTCTTCTAAATAAAATTTTTTATTTTTAATATCAAATGTTTTACTGGGGTACAATTATGTCATAGGTTAAAGTGTTTTCTCAATCTATCCATAAAAAGAGGATAATTTTTTATCTTTTTCAATACTCTAGATCAGTGTTCTCCACCCCCGGTCTGTGGATCAAATGGTACCGGGCCGCCCATTTCATTGAAACTGAATTTAAATTCCCAGTTCATAGTTTGATTAGTTAAATTCTTAGTTTGAATTCCTGGACATAAGCAACACACTTCGGGTGTCATTGTCTCCGATTACCCCCAGAGGGAACCGTCTCATTGCAAAGAAACAAGCTCAGAATTCTCATTGATTTAACGTCCTAGTAAGTTAAAAAACTTCATATTTATTTTTTGGTGTAACTGTACTTTATTTCGAAGGCATGTTTAAATACAATTAAATTAAAATTAATAAATCAAAATAATCTAAAATATAAACAATCAACGTCCCCCCCCCCTAGCAGGTCGCAGTAAAATTATGAAAGATTGGGGAACACTGCTCTAGATAACAACAAATTCATCTATACCATACCTTAGAATAGTTTAAAATGGGTTAGTTCTATTTCAAAATTTTATTACTTGCTGGTTTTGATTGATCATTTAGCTCTTTTTGAGGTTTATTTTTAAGAACACACACCACCAAGCAAACTCATTCTTTTTGGCATACTTCAAAATATATGGAATACAGCATGACAAGGTTCCCACTCCTCTACCTTCCAAACTAAAAACCTTCAAAGAATTTTCTGAGACACTATAAGATATTATAAAGACTAAGTGTAAAATATTACAACCAAGTGCTATACCTTTAAGATTTAATTAAACTCACAAAAATAATACTTGTAAAAAAAAAAGAGTATTAGGTTAATTTTTTATTAAATCCATCAGTTTATATCTATTTTTGTAGAGCCATATTTTTTAAATCACAAAGCAATAGTTAAATTACTAGTAGAATCACATTCAATTCATCACCATTTTTCTCTTGCATGTAAGCTTATTTGATCAGTAGTAAAAAAGAAATCTGGAACAAAATATTTCGTGGTTCAAAATAAATAAATAAATAAAAACAAGCATTTTTAAGGACTTCTGAATGATAAATATTTCTAAAAGCTTTCAGAAATGGCAAGTTAAAAAAGTACCTAAAGGTATTCTCTAAGAATTGTGGGAACCCTGCAAGTGATTTCATTCTTGCTGTCCCAGCATGTTTTTTTTTTATCTAAAATAATTGAAAAAAAAAAAACTATACAACCAATTAATAAAACTAAGCTAAATGAGATAAACCATTAATGTAGGACAATGTTTGACACACAGCCAGGCTCAAGAAACCAATTGCTATATAATAAGTTAATCTGTAAAGTGAACTGATGCCATACATAGTTGAAATGACAGCTAAGAAATGCATTATATGTGAAGAAGAAGTATAATGACTCCTGAAAGTAAAATAAATAAACAATTAATGGACTTCATTTATTTCTTACAGAAATTAAATATCAAAGAAATATTGCACATAAATGTAGATTTTTACATGATGCTGGTTACCTGTCAAATTACATTACATTGTGTTCATTTCCACATTACATTTTATTTTGTGACGACTATTGAGGTGCAATTCATGACTTCAATCACTTCCTGGCAAAGCTGAAATTTCAAATGCTCACAAGATACAGGATGATAATCAGAAGCAGTTGGATTGCAAGGGTTTAAAAATGAAACAACTTGGCAAAACCTTTAGTTCAATCTAAGTAAGGAGTTAAAATCAAAGAACCTTGTTGAAATGTAAAGTGTAGAAACTAAATGGACTACATCAAAAAATTCCACCTTATGTACAGCTAACAGCATACCGAATAAGGCACAAGCAACTAGATCTAAAGATTGGATTGAGCAGGAATTCACGAGGGCATCACAAGCATACAAAAATGACATTCAAGAAGATCAGTAGAAAAATACAAGGAGAGAAGAAAAGAAGATCCATTAGTTTATAAATAGACTATTCGATGAAGATTGGCTTTAAGATATTGAATGAAAAAGATTCAATGAAAGCAGAGCTTTTTTTTCCGAAATAAGTTTTTGATCTAACAGATTTGAAACCTAAAACAACGGCACATAGATAAGATAAACTAATTTTAAACTGTACTTCGCTGATGGAATAAGTGAATGGAGGCACACAGAATGAGGTTTCAATTAGCCTACAGTACCTGGTGCAAAAAATGAGATTGTTTAGCAACCTTCTTGAATAGGAGTCAAAGAAGAAATTAACAAACCAGGGTGGCCACTCAAATCAGGCTTCAAATTTCCTTGATTTTTCCAGGTAAAAATTGTAAAATTTCTAGGTCAGCATGTTTTTTTCCCTCATAAAGTGTACAAATGGCAAATAAAGAAAAGTGCCAATATTAAAAAGTATTTTATTTTAAATCTTATTTTTTTCAATGCATCATCTTAAACAGAGAATTAGATTAAATTGTGGAAGAACCTGCTAAGCGACACTTTAGTGAATTTGAGTAAATGAGAGCTAAAGTTTATACGTTCCCTTTTTTTTTGTTGTTAAATCTTTATGATTTTAGTATGTTTATGAAGGCATAACTCACAAAAATTTTAGAGGTCTATCAATTTGATTCCAACTATATTAATAAGGAAGATTTAAATGATTTCTGTGAATAGCATTTGCTTGTTTTTACGGACGATTTTTAATGTTTTTCATTTAATATAATTTTGTTTGAAAAGATAAAATAAATTAACATATATTTAGACTTACATGCATAAAATAAAATTTTAGTAGCCTTAATTTGGAACAAACTGGTATAAAATTTTATTTAGCAGTGTTAGTTCAAAAACTGATAAAAAAAATAAAAAAACGATTCAGAGGCAATATGAGCTGAACTTTCAGTAATTCTTGATTTAAAAAAAGGTTTATTTTAAATAGCGCTGATTGCGGTTAAAATGTTGCGCCACTTCTTTACATCTAAATATATTTCTGAAATTAAATACATTTTTGTAAGTTTTAATACAAAAAATATTTAAGCATAGTTGTTGAAATGCAAATTATTTTCAATTTTATTAAAAGTAATGCAAATTTAGGCAAAAATGACACATTTTAATTTATAAAAATGTTTATAAAAAAGTTTTTTTTTCTTTCTATCATAGTGTAAACTACGAATTTATGACAAGTTACGCAGTTCTTATTTTTCAAAATTCAGGTTACCACTTCAAGAATTTCTGCCATTGAACACCAATCCACTCAGTAAATCAACTTTTTTTATTTTCAATTTCTTAATCTTGAACCTAGAAGACAAGTGAACACTTGTTTAAGTAACAAAGTCACATTCACCCTCAAGAAGAACTCTTTTAAGTGAAACTTAATCAGTATTTGCGCAAAATGGGAAGTAAGAACTATGCAAACCTCTCATGGTTAGCCCGATACCAATGAAGCTCTGATATGTTTTTACCAAAGTATCAATTGCATCAACACCACAATCTCAGCTAACAGGGAGTAAAATAAAGCTTGACTATCTATATCTGTCTTTCATTCATATGCAGACTCAATTTCCTGAAAAAGTTATTAGTTTTGTCAAATCAATAAGTATGCTTATTGAATTGGATTTAACAATCAATATTTTAAGCACACATCTTAAAGAATACACAAGTGGGCGACCTTTGTGCTAAAATACAAACTATGGCAAACAACGTTAAAGAGCACAAAAATATTTATAAAATACAGACAGCTGTTTCGGATGCTAAAGGGGCACCCTTCATCAGTGCAACAGAAAGAAATGAGAGAAAACAGGGTAAATATAGAGAAAGGTGACGTCACAAGAGGGTTTATAGCAACGGCCAATAGGAGGGAAAGGTGAATGGATGACGACGAATAGGAAGCAAGGAACAAACAGGTGGTCAGTTAAGTTTAATCATAGATTTCCAAACAGGAGAAAGATATGGAACGCTGGATAGGTCATTGACCAACAGTTTGGAATTTTTGAAAATATGATAAGACTCGTAAAAATCTAAATCAAAAACTGAAGAACAATTTTGAATGACTTTAGAAGAAAAAAAATTAAAATTATGATTACCAGAGATGCCAACTTGAAAATTATGATTTCAGTAATAATCACACATAACTTATAATGATTTTCAGTAATCCTCAGTAATAATAAAGTTTTACCTCATAATTTTAATATTAAATGCTTATTTTGATGGTACTATAAATTAAAAATTAATAATAATTAATTCATTATATAATTATTTTAATAATTCATATTCCAAAACTGTTCTGTTTAAAAAAAAGATAAAATTTGAGTTTAAGATTGACCTAAAAAAGTGCATAAATACATACTTGTATAATGGAACACAAAATAAAAAACTGAAACTTCAATAAAATTTTTTTTATTTATCTGTTATATGCAGGGTTGGCAGGTTTTTGACATGTGACAGTTTTTGACAGTTTAAACCATGGTTTAAACCGTCACGTCAAAAACCTCACTGTCAAAAATGTCAAAAACCTATATTCATATGTGAAATTTAATTAATACATAAAATTTATATATTTTTTATAAAGGATAGTGTTTCTAAATATGTTCTAGAAAAAATAAATTTAAAATTTTGAAGAAACACTTATATTTTGAATAGTAACCAAAATCTTGTACTTTTGAATGCTCACATCTTTTGTAATATTACGTAATCATTTTCATGTGTTATTGAAAATCTGCAGCGATATTATTAAGAAACTTATTTATAACCAAATTTAGTGTATACAGTGTTTTCATCGCAGAGAAAAAATGGATGAGAATTTCTCACCCTTTCTCAAAAACAGGGTGAGATTTCAGAAAGTTAAGTGAGATTTCTAAAAATTAAAAAACAAAAACGTAAAGAGATATGAAAAAAATCATTTCTTTAATTATAATACATTTTTAATATCTTCTAATTTTTAAAGCATTGAATATTTTTGCTGCATCATCATATGGAAAATGTTCTATATCTACTTTTTCATCAGCTATTCTAATTAGGTAACTCAAATGCGTATTTGTTTCGTTTTGATCGTTTCTACCCACATTTGTTTCATTTTCATTTGTCCGTTTCGGAGTAGAAGATATTGCCTTTACAAGGTATTTGTCCATCTTGCATTAATGCGCAAAAAATTTGAACGTCTTACATGAAGAAACCTTACATACAGTAAACACGTGGTTGCAGAGAAATGCGTTCTAAAAAAGGTTCGGAGGGATGGTGTTCTGTAGTTCTTAAAGATTCTGAACAATACTGGTAAACAGGGAAGCTAGATAATGGGGCAGATGTTGAAAATAATGAAAGATCCAGGAAGAAAAGTGAAATGGATTTCATTATAATTGGCGCAATGAGAAATTTTTTTCAAAATGCGAGAAATTCGCGAATTTTGAAATTGGTTTATAGAATGCGCGAATTTCTCGCGGTAATCATTTTTTAATGCGAGAAAAGAAAAAAATATGCGAGATTCTCGCGTTCTAGTGAAAACACTGTGTATAGTATAGATTATACTAAAAATTAGACATTTTTAAAGATAAACATTAGCAGTTTTGTACATTAGACATCTTTTAAAGAAAAATCTTTTTAATATTCTTTTAAATCTTCTTAATAATCTTTTTAACATAAGACAATACAAATTTAAGTGCTTTCTGTTAAATACACAGAGTAGTTAGTGTCGATTTACAGTATATTCAGCCTATTCATTTACTATGCTGAAAATTTAGTTTATCCAAATACTTGTGAATTTCATTTTGCTGAATACTATATACATAGTTTTGTTGAATATCTAAATATTCAGCTGTTGAATAATTACTTCTTGCTTTCAAGATATGCATTATTTGTATTCTTAATACAAGTGGGGGAAAAAAATTAAGAGGTAAAAATTGTTTTAAAATGATAAGTGTAATAATTATAAATAAATATAATAAACAATATGAATTATATTTATCATTATTCACAAATATAACTACTTTTAAATTCAAATTAACATACTGGATAATAAAGATATTCGGTATAACATTAAAAATTTTTTTTATACACTTGTATCAAGTTTGTATTTATACAACATAACTTGTAAGTTCCTTATAAATATTAGTTATATGTTCCTTATATGTCAAAAATGCATAGTAATAAACTTTTAATTTTCTTAAGTATCAAAAAAAAAAAAAAAATTTTTTTAAATATAAATATTTAAACAATTTTTGTGCAAAATTTTTCTGCACATGCATTTGAATATAAATTTCTGAGATTTTAAATCTGTTATTTTACCTTAATTTTAATTAAAAAATATTTTAAAACCTGCTGATTACCTATAGTATAATTAAATTTCAATATAATGCATGGCAACTGTTGGTAGTTTTGAAGTTTACATATTTTCTTGGCAAACTTCAGTTTTTGACATTTTTGACGGGTTTTTGACGGTTTAAACCAGTATTATACCCATGTCATGTCAAAAACCACTTTTTGACGTCAAAAACCCAACCCTGGTTATATGTAAATCTAATTTAGTACTTTGCTTTGCAGCTCTTATCTCAGCATCAGAAAATTTCCTTTTGAAACACACTTTTTTGTTTGTTAACGCTTTTGTTTTTTCTATAAGAAGAGAAGACAAAGTGAGACAAATTCCAATTCCAAGAGAAGACAAATTCCAATTCCATTAGTCTGATTGGTTAAACATGTCTGTCTTGCTTTTGATATCAGTGAGGGAAAAAAAAGTTTGGATGAAACGAAAACGCGCGGCAAAAAAAAGTGGGGGAAGAGGGAAACTCAAGAAGTTTTTCTTAATTTTAGTCGCTAGTTGGCTTAAAAAGTTGCCGATTTTATGCAACTCGTTGCAAATTCGTTGTTTTTACTCACACGTTGTTCTACTTCTACTAAAATAGTCGCCCTAGTTGCTATTGCTTTAAAATAGTCACTTTAGTAGCCTTTTTAGTCGCCAATGGGATCACCGGGATCCATTTCGGATCACCGTCCTCATCGACCAATACGATTCAATGAGAATGATTCTTAAAGGGAAAAATTATAGAATAAAAATGAAACTTTTGGATGAGTTGAAAATTATTTTTCCGTAATTTTGGGGGAGTAGCCCGTAATAGCGTAATGTTGTCATAAAATCCGTAATAATTACGGTAAATCCGTAATAGTTGGCATCTCTGGATTACAGTCCTGCAAAGATTGAAAACGAAAGTAGCTGAGAAGAGAAAGGAGAGAGAGAGAAAGGGAGAGAGGCCAAAGCTAGAGAGGATAGTAGAGGTTGGACGCTCTTCCGAGCAGGACTATTTTTGTCGCCACTGATATGTTTTAGATGGATATTTCTTATATATGTTTAGTTTAGATGTGTGATGTGCTGCTTTTACCTAAATAAAAAAAATCAAGCAGCCGAAGCTCTTTGTGATAATTTAGATGTGTTACTTTCAATACACATTGATATCTATCAATCCAGTCACGACGAGGGGGGAAGAAAGTTTACTAGTCCCAACAATGTTGGGCAATAGATGAGCGTTTAAATTTTTTTTTTTTTGACATAAGCTTCATGTTCCTTGACATGGCACTTTAAGGCACGCTTAGTTTGGCCAATATATGAAAGGCCGCATTGGCAATTAATTTGGTATATACCCCAGCTATTTTGACTGTCAATGGGCTGTTTGAGATTAGAAAATTTTATCTTATTAATGAGACTGAAAATAATATTAAAATCAAACTTCTTTAGGATATTAGCAACTTGCAGACTTATTTTAGGAAAATAGGGTAAAATGACTAAGTTGTTAGAAAATTCTTTGGAAGGTTTATCGGTAGGCGATTGTTTAGTTAAGTTTTTATAAATATTATCAATAATGTTAGAAGAATAACCTCTGTAATTTAATTCTGCATCAAGAAAATCAATGTTACAACAAATATCAACAGCACGGTAGACAAAAGACCGAAAGAGGCAAGTTTTTGGTTGGGAGGATTTGTAATGAGGGGTAAGAGAAACAGCAAAAGGTTTACGAAAGACAGTAGTATGGAATGAATTATCATTCCGAGTCACAAGAACATCAAAGAAAGGAAGTTTTTGATTAGTCTCTAATTCAAAGGTGAACTGAATGCAAGAATCAATGCTGTTCATAACATTAAGAATTAGGTCAAAATTACAATTATTTTCGTCTGACAAAGCAAAACTGTCATCAACATATCTTTTATAAAAGGGGAAAGTTAAGATTTTGAATAGTTTACTTTCAAAATAATGAATATAGATGTCACTAAGTATAGGGCTCAAAGGATTTCCCATGGCAAGACCATTGGTCATATGGTAAAATTTGTTGTCAAACACGAAAGCATTTTGTTGTAAACAAACACGGGTGAGGTTAAGATATTCATCGACCTCAAATTGGGAAAAATGATATTCCGAAATTCTACGTTTTAGGCATTCCAAAGCGCCCTCTACTGGAACATTCGTTCACTAATGTTTCGGTTTAATTTTTCTTCTTCTAAAGTCATTCAAAATAGTTTTTCAATTTTTGATTTAGATTTTTACGAGTCTTATAATATTTAAAAAAATTCCAAACTGTTGGTCACTGACCTATCCAGCGTTCCTTATCTTTCTCCTGTTTGGAAATCTATGATTAAACCTAACTAACCACCTGTTTGTTCCTTGCTTCCTATTCGTCGTCATCCATTCACTCTTTCCTCCTATTGGCCGTTGCTATAAACCCTCGTGACGTCACCTTTCTCTATATTTACCTGTTTACTCTCATTTCCTTCTGTTGCATTGATGAAGGTTGCCCTTTGAGCATCTGAAACAGCTATCTATGTTTTATAAATATTTTTGCGCTCTTTAACGTTGTTTGCCATAGTTTACACATCTTTAAGATTGTTAAAGAGACTCGTCCTATTTACAATTTAAAAATAATAATCTCAAAAATAGAAAACTTTTTGGTAATAGGTATTACTGATATTAGTTAATTGGTGCTATCTTAATATGTATCACAACACCTACTATGAGTACTGTGAAAAACAGGTTTTTAACAACCTTCTGAATGGGATATGTACCAGAGAAAATTGCTGATTGTGGTATTTTTTTACTATCAGGATTTAGTCTCGAGCAATAGAATTATGCCAATTGATTGTGTCCGCATATCTCCTTTAAATTTTGTGAAGGATTTTGCAACGTTGATCCTTACTGATTTATTGATTATTTAATTTTATTAACAAAAGAAAAAATAAAGATACAGCAAGTAACAATATATGAAAAAGTTGCTTAAGCACAAAATCATATTTATTTTCAATGCGACATTGCTTCGAAAAAAAATTACATTTTCCACTTGAGCAGTGCGCCTGAAACTTGCGCCATTACTTAATCCTTGATTTTAAAATTTAAATAGCTTATGAGAATAAATAGAAAATTACTTATAAGTCGACGAGAGAGTTTAACCTAGCAATTATTAATCCTTTGATTTTTCTTATTAACATTACAAGCACGACAAGATTAGAACTTTCGCATGCGTTGGGCAAGTCGAGATACATAATTTTCGAGCTCTGGTGCAACTTCTTCTTTTATTATAAATAAGATAATATACTTTTATGCAAATATTAATAAAACCTTTTGTTTGATAAAAAATATAAATAAAACTTACCTATAGAAACAAGGCGTGGGTAACTCCCAGAAATAGTGAGAAGTCACTATTACTATAATGCACTGAAGTCCGTTTATGTCATTAGGAGTTCTGAGAGTAAACTGGTTACTTTTTAACCACATTACAAAACTTGGGAAAGTGAGGCCCAAGAAGAGTAGTAGAAGAAAGAAGATGGTGAAGTGGAAGTACCACACAGTTGTCGAAGTACTTGGACCTCTACGATCTTCTTCCGCAATGCATCGCATACGGAAACATACTAACTGTAGAAAAAAAGGCAGTTTTTTAATTTAAAAAGAATAGCTGACCTAATAAAAAAATATGTCAAGAATTAATCACAGAAAAACTACTTACACATAAATACGTTAAACATTTTATTGCACAAATAATATTTAAATATCTTGGCTGGATTTACATATAGGATCTCGGAAGCACCAAAATTTTATCTTAATAAAACTCAAAGAAACACAATTTATAAAATTGAAATACAGTGCAAAAAGCAAAAGTTTTCACATAGATATTATAATTTATTTTAACCTCTTCCTTGAAAATTGTCTTATTTGAGTTCTGATCAATTATCACGCCAGCTGATTATTTACTAATTAACTAAAAACAGAATGTATAAGGTTTCTTTTAAATCAAAAGCTTAGGGCATGTGATAAATGTTTTATTCCTTTTATTTTAGTCACTAATCTAAAATAAAAGTTCTAAGAGTTAGCCAGGTCTCAAATGCTTTAACTCTTTGAAAAGCTGAAAAATTTGAATTTTTTTTATTTTAATAAGGAAGAGACGTGTAAATAAATTTCATTACATGCATGAAAAAAAAATCTGTTTGATTAAAATAAAATAGTGTTCTACATGAATGTAAATAAATTTTATTGAGATATAAAAGGTTTACAGTCCCGTTTGGGATTTATAATAATAATAAAAAAAAGATGAATAAAAGATTATTTTTTGTAAGACAAATACAGAAAACACAAACCTTGCATTAAATAATTAAACAGAGGAACATGTCAAATTTTATCTACAATAATGACAAGGGTTCTGAAGAGTTATTCTTTGGTGAAACACATCAAAACAATAATATCCTGTTCCTGCTAAATTGTGTACAACATGGTATTATCGACAACAACATGTGTTACTCTAACATGTTGAACAGAATCTGCTAAGAACTGATGTACGCCATGTGACCACATGTCTACTAATACAGTACCGGTAAGGGCTATATAAAAAATTTTAATTATTTTGTTTTTAGTCTCTTTGTTTTTTGCTGCATTCATCTTAAGATTTTTTTTTTACCACAGGCATCTGAAAATCAGACGGAAACTATGAATAACCCTGAAAAATTGAAATTTACTTACTAAAATACATTATAGTATTGAGATATATGATTTATACTTAGTCTAATCAATAGAGGATTAAATTCAACTACTTACAATATAAATACTACATTAATTAAACATGTATTGTTATTTAAAAAACAGATTTGAGAAAAAAGAAGTTTTTATTTATTTTTTTGATTGTGTGTAATTCATTTTACTTTCTTAAACAGTGCCTTATCGTAAAATACTTGAATAATTGCAACATAAAAGCTAAAACAAAATAAATGAAAAAAATAAATTTATTTTAAAAATAGACATTACCTTATAAAGATAGAATAAACATGTGAGTTGAATTCCTATTGAACCAGAAAGTCCTATTGAAGTGGCAGCAACCATAGCACACCAAACCATCAGTGGTTTTGTGACGCCTATTCTGATTTTTCTTTCTAGTTCAAGACGTACTTCTGATATTTCCATTAATGTACTATGTATTAAAAAAATATATATTGCAATAAAAATGATAGTGTATTGATAATTTCAGCATATAAATGTCTGTTGCAACAAGCATGAAAAAACTATATGAAAACAAAAGAAAGATTAAAATTGAATAGGATTTAGATGATAATAGTCAATAACAGATACAGCAGGTTTCAAATCATTAGCCTCATGATTATAGTGTTTTCATATTATCTGATTTGGTAAAAAATTAGATATTTAGGAATCGGCCATTTGTAAAACTTGACTTGTGGTAGGTGGAGAAAAAAAACAAAAACTAAAAGACAATATGTTATATACATTACGAATTCTTTTTAAAAATAAAGTAAAAAATAGTCTTATTAAGGTCTCAAAGTTATATTTATGAAAGAAGAAAAAAATAAAGAACACTAAATATTTTTCAAAGACAAAAGCAAAATGAAAACCAGTTAGGCTGCCTGATGAAACTTGGAAGTGTTTCATACAATTGCTTCTCAACATCTCTGTTTCTTACTGGCAATCAAACATATTTTGATGTTTCCTTTAGTCTTACAATCATCACTAGTGACTCATTAGATTTTGATATCTTTTTTATTTTTATTTTTTCGCTTAAATATTAATCAGAAATTTTTAATGAGCACACTTTCTTGAAAAAAAAAATAACAACTTACAAATAAAAAAATTAAAAATAAATAAGAATAAGTTCAAGTAGGTAAAACGAAAAAAAAAAAAAAAAAAAAAGGAGGCAGATCTAGTTGTTTCTGTAATGGAAATGTACAGGCAGGTTTTGTATAGCTTACTAAAATCGTAAGATGCGCTTTTGAATTTAATAGCTTGAATAGGGAATTTTTTTTAAACGCTAATTTTCAGAGATTAAAAAAAAAATATATATATATTTATGTATGAAAAAAGATAAAAAGCACTTTGTAAGATATTGGCTAGCTTCATACAACATGGGGTTCACCCCATCTAACTAGAAACTACTTCAAACAACAAAACATTGTCACAAAATTTTGCCATAGTTTTATTAGTGGGACTACTTTAGGAAATTGGTTGCAAAGATCCTTGTTTGCAATCCCAATACAAAAATATTTTATATTACATGCATATAATATATAGGATATATACATTCACTGAATAGAAATGTATTTTTGATTTCTGAGATTATAGTCATAAAAAGAAAAGGATGATTTAAAAAAAAAAAATGGTGATTACCATATACCTTGGTACATAATTCGACTTCTCATTTCCCAGAAATTCTATTAAAAGCAGGGGAACGCCATAAGTAGCAGTAATAAATTAGGACATTCATTGATCATAAAATATCGATCTTTTATAAACAATGAGATAAAGATGAATAACTCAATATTTATTTACTCCTTCAAATACTATTTTTAATATATTAAAAACAATTAACTTAGCATTTTCTCTCATCAACAAATTTTGTTCACACACAAAAGTTTTTTTTAGAAACAATATTTAAATTAAGTTTGGGAAGAAAATTTGAGAATAAGTAAAATTAAGATAATTTATTAATTATTTCAAAAAATATAACGCAATGAAAAGTTTTAAAACATACCCTAAATCTACAAATTTTAAGTTTGCAGTAACATCAGTGTCTGATTCAATGATGTTAGCAGTGTCATCAAACTGTCCCCACTCTGCAATCGACTTCATCTCATCTCTCGAGTCTCACAAAAAATTGTTTCCATCCAAAGAATTGAAATTCCTAGCTTTTTAAAAGATTTTACTATAAAATTTCAATACACATTTTGCCACATGTCTAGCATCATTTGACACATGATGTCTATTAGATCAGCATGTTTTTGTAAGATTTTTGGATATAGTAAGATATTTGGTCACCTAACAGCATTTGTTTGTGAATCTTTAATCAAGGGGGCACCCCATAGCATCTTTATTTGAGGACAATTGTATCATATCCAGAGAAAACTTGAGAACATATTTTTTAACTTGAGAAAATTTTGTTGTGTTGATAACTTTTATATTTTTTAATTTAAGAAATTTCCATACTTGGTTTTTCAGCAGTCTGCTTATACACTGGATATACCAGATCTCATAATTAAAAATAGGGGGTTGATTTATATACTGTGATAAACAGTAAGAGTAAATTTTGTGTGTTAACACTATAAAAATATATGATAATACTCACTTTCTTTTAATCATTATCCAAATTTTACAGGTAAAACTCAGAAACAAATTTATAGCAGTGTAAAGAATGATGACTGATCCACATGAAATTAAATATAAAAATGTCCTCAACAGCAATGTGTGTAGAAGAGTAATATCCTTTTGTCCAATTATGTCTATAGGAGGAATATATATAATTGACAAATCTGGAATCCTATTAAAATTAAGAAATACATATCAGTATTCATTATTCAGGGCAAAAGAATAGAAAGAAATGCTTGGAGGCAAAAATGGCTTAAACCAAGTTGTTTTTTTAAAAAAAAAATAATAATTTGATTTACATTATCAAATTTGATCAAAATTGATTTAATTCATAAAATAATATCAAAATTTGATTTTGATATTATTTTATGAATTAAATCAATTTTTGATTAATTTTTTTACATTCACCAATTAAAGCTCTGATAAAATGTAGTAATGTTTAATATTATCTAAAAACAATTATTATAACTACAATACTTGATATTTTGAACTAAACGGTTAAAATTATTATATAACTGTTAGAGACTAATCCAAACTAAGGAAATTTTAATTTAGGGTTCAGCATCCTCATAAATTTGTAAAGACAAAGACTCAATTTGTCAGATTTTAAATGAAAAATAAATTAACTTAGATAAGGAAATATAAAAAGAAAATATTATTTTAAATTATAGTACAATTCACATATTTATTAAGTTATAAAAGTACTTGCATTTAGTTTAAATAAACATAAATTTTGTCAATTACATCACGCAAAAAATTAGATATTGAAAATGTAACCTGTAGACAACAGTAGCTGATCAAATAACCACAGAAAGTGCTTTAAATAAGTAACTATGATTTTTTTAAAAACTCTAGTGAAATTAGCAAATAATTTACAAAGTTGCAAGATAAATTACAAATAAGATTGAGGCAGAGTGTTGAACTTATAGAATTTTCAATTCTATTATTTATTTAAGAGCTGGCTTTTAAGAGCTAAACTTAAATAAGTTTATTAATTTGAGTAGATGATATTTTACACTAAAAAATCAGAAGCAAAAACTAAGCTCTCCTGAATAAACATTGCTTTTTTTAAAATTTTTTTAAACAAATTCAGATTCTCGACATTAAAAATATGGGGGATAGCTACAATGTGGAAAATAGGGTCTCAAATAGTTCATTCAAAGGAGCAATTTTGAAAGTTTGAACTTCCTAATGTTGATTTTCCTTTATTTTTTTGCACTGAATAATATAAAAAAAGAAGTTTTTTAAATGTTATTTCTTAAGATATTATTTGATGGTTTTGGTTCAAATTTTCTATTTTGAATTATAAAATTACATAGTTAAATATGTAAAAAATTATTTACGTGATAATTCAAGAATTTTTTTTTGTCAGTTATTAAAATGAATAAAAAAAAACTTATATTAATTTTTATTACATTTAGAATTGTCTTTAATAAAAAGAATTTTTAAATATAATGAGTTAATTTTCTTGAATAGTACTAGAGATATGTTTAAAAATACAAAAATTGAAATTAATATTAAGGAGTCAAAAGTGAAATTAACATTAAGTCATTGCTAAACTATAGGGGCCATATTTTTCAGATTGCGACTGTTTCTCATATTTTGAGGAGGAAAAATCAAAATAAGGAAAAAAAAAAAGGTATATTTATTCAGAGAAAGCGAGTTTTTGTATCTGATTTTGCAATTTAACCCACCAATGGTTCTGCACACAAAAAGTTGTATTTTAACCAGCAGTCTCTCTGTATAGCAGAACCGGTCTTTCACAGTCATTAGATAAGGAAATACATGTTCCTAATTTTCCTCCTGCCAGTAGGTTAAAACATGGTTTGGACAAATATTTAGCAGATTCATGCTTAGCCCTTTGAATTTTTAAGTTCACATCTTAATAAGAGCAAAGTAAAGTCAATCATTCATTAGATAGAAAATAAATCATTAGAAGAATAATTTTTATTTTGAGCACTGCACATAAGTCTACGAGTTTCAAATGATATTAAATAGGTTAGTGAAATTTAATTTGCACATCTAAAGATGTTATTTTGAGATAGTACTTCTCTTAGTAAACATTTATGAACAAAAAACCCAGTTTATTTCCATTACAAGTAGGGACAGCTAAAATGTTTTGAATATGTCATAGCATGCTATTTTTGGACCATTTTTTATATATAAGTTGCAGTAAAGTAGAATTTTTAAAAATTGTGCCAAAATACTTAAAAATGACAAACTTGCACATTGGGGCTCTTAAATTGATGAATTATTCCAGTGTTGAATTAGTTAAAACTATATTTAATTAACTTTAAAATATCAACGTCACAGATTAATTTTCGCTCTTATTTTAAATACAAAAAATAAACCTCTTCACGAATTCTGGAAAATTGGCAGCTATGCAACAACAATTAATCACATAAAAGTAAAATGTAGACATACTGCACTAAACTAAAAGTAGACACACTTAAGGGGCAATATGAATTCAGGATAACAAAATTATGGGGTGCTACAAATCATGTTTCATGCAAAAACAAAAGGTGAAGAATGGATAAAACTGACGGGACATTAACTAGGGCGCATTGGAACACGTACATATCAAAAAAAGTTAAACTAAGTCTGTTTACAGATGCACAATTTTAGGTGAGAATACTTCAAAGAAGCCTCCAGCAGTTAAAACTCAAGTGTTTCTAACATCCTCTGATAAGACTGTCTCCATGCCTCGAGTTTAAAAATACACACATAGCAAAAAATTACATGCAAGAAAATGAAGTGACGTTTCTTACCAAATTAAATGAAATATAAATGTAGGAACTGCAACAAGAGTGACGTAGGTTGGATAATGACCAAATATCTGATAAAAAGATGGAACATAACCTAAAATTATAAAAGAGAAACAAAATATAGTAACTTTTAATGTTCTTAAAAACAAATATCAGTATCCAGAAGCCCTTTATCGAAAAGGACACAACACAGGACAACCAAAAAAGAAAAGGACACAACCAACATGAACTCCTCTTCTCCTTTACTATGCGTACTTGAGAGGTGTCATTTGTTCTCCACTTCTGGTGAACCCATCCAATGCCCTTAAAACCTCTACTTTTGTCCAAACAGAGATCTTTTTGACATGGGAGGAAATGGGAATAAGCAGTTAAAATAAAAGAGGACCCAATAAAAAAGTTAAATAGGTTTCTAAAGATAAACATCCGTAGGAATTCTTTCTTCTCCTGATTATATAAAATTTATGGGGCAACATCCTTTTTTTACCATTGACACTCCCTTTTCACTGAAGAATGAACTTGATTAATGAAAGCAGCGCCCAACTAACTCTAAAGTATATAAATATATTTCTTCATAATAAAAATTCATGACTGTTTTGAAGTTAACTTTAAAAATGTCAATTACAGCCGAACCTTGTTCACATGAATTTCTTTTAAAGTGAATTAATTCTCAATTCCACATCAAATTGTAAATGGTTATAATACCTACTTTTAATTTGAACACACTTAACGTGAAATATCTTTTAATATAAAAGCGAATTTCAATACCCTTTGGAAATTTTTTTTTATTAATGTGAACAGAAAATTTATAAGTGATATGGAACAGAAAATTAACAGGTAAGAAAACTGATCATTCACAGATTTATAACTATAAATGCAGGTTTCTTGAATTTATTTTTTGATAGTTTTTAAAAGTGCAATATTTGAGCAATCAATTGAAAGAGGCAGTGGTAATTGTCACAAAAAGTGAAAAACACTGAAAATTTCACATGTAAAAAATTGATAACAATTTACATACAAAATATGTTTTATATTTAACAAGGTTTTTTGAACTATCATTTAAAAATTAAATTACTTACTAATGAAGAATATCAAACCTTTATAGTAACCAATTCAAGAAAAAACCTACTTCTTATAAGAATTTGCAATATTGGATCTAAAAGTCGCATGAATATGAATCACGATATTGGATTTTAATCCACTGACGACTCTGCACGTTTAAAGTCATGCTTTTACCTGCAGTCTTCTCTGCATATCAAAACCGGTTTTTCCATGTTAATAGATAGGAGATAAGTGTATAGGGGTTAAACATTCTCTCAGTTTTGCCCATTTTCTAAACCGCCAGCGGGTTAAAAATCGTGTGAACATGAATCTTTATATTGGATTTTAATATCTCATGAATATGAATTGTGATATTGGAGTTCAAAAACACGAAAATACAAATTGTGATACTTGATTTGAAATTGAGTGAATATCAATCAAGATATAGGATTTTTAAATCACTTGAATAAGAATCAAAATGCACGATTATTTAATCGTGTGAATATGAATTGCAAGGCATAACTTTTAGATTGGGTAAATACGAAAATCTATATCTGGTATTAAAATCACGCGAGTAAGAATCACGTTTTGCATTGTTTGCAGATTCCAGCACAGTTGCAGATATTCAAATCATAAAAATCTGCCAAACAAAAAGAATAAAATTGGAGGAAGAGTAAAGTGCATGTAAACCCCTTGTTAACGGGATTTAACAAAAGTTGAGAAATTTCAGTGGATTCCAAGTTTTTGATTCGCCGTAGTCTGCAAACGAATAGTCTTGAGATACGCAGAATTCTGCAAAATATTTGCAGAAACATCACATACTCTGCTTCCAGTTATTAGAATTGGGAGGATAAAACAGAAGAAAAAAAACACGGAATTCCAAGGTAAATCTGGATTACAATCACCCCTGAGAGTTGTATGAGTTGTTGAGGGGGAGCAGGCATTACAGGAAATAACATAAATTCTTTCTTTTACCTTATGGTTGTGAAGGTAAAGAAGCGGGTTCTCCTTAGAAATGACCACCCATATTGATCATTTGTTAAATATGAGTAGTCATTATTCCCACACTCTCATAGAGTGTTCTAAGAAATCGATACTGCAGAATTACATTTATACAGGTGAGGAATTTTTTCTTAAATTTCACAATCAAATACATTGGTTTACTTTCTCGAATGGATGCTCATAAAGCAACTAAAACTGTTTGTTCCTTTGTAATGTAAAATGAATATGCTAAAATTTTTTCTTTGGTTTTTTTTTTTTTTTTTTTGATACAGTTGATAAGTTAGAAGATTTCTGGAAAGCATGGGCTAATTAGAAACCAAAACAGAGAGATATTACCGATTATTTTGTAAGTAATCCTCTCTAATTTGTGCTATAAATCAGGTTACTGCTATTATTAGCTACTTTTGAGTAATATTTTATTTGCTTCTACTGAATTAAAAAAAAAAGAATAGAAAACTGAGTAAGTACATTTTTCGAATTTTGTCTGAACTATAATATTCTTATAATAATTTCTTCCCTTATAACATTTATTTTTTTTAAATAATATGCTGTAATTAATATGAGACACATAAAAAAGCAATTAATTTAATAAAAAGTGCAAAATAAGAAAAGTTTTGAAATGATATATATATTAATTTACATGTTTATAAAAGAAATGAAAGTTTAGCAAAAGCAAATAGAAAATGTTTGTGTATTGTATGATTTTTACAAAAAAAAAAAAAAAAAAATTCTGAACCAATAGCAAGAACAAATTTTTTGTCACCCTTCGAGTTGACATTAATGAGGTTTGACTATACGTCATTTTAATTTAAAAAAAAAGATTTATCTAAGAACTTTATTTTTTAATATCAATAAATTAAGATAGAAAATAATAATTGAATTAAGTTTTATGATTTTCAAGTTTAATATATTTAAAACAAATACAGTCCAATTACTTTGAGAAATTATTCTCTTTCATAAATGAATAAATAATTAATCATAAATGTTTATAAGAAAAAATTGAATGCTAATGCGGGGCACACGCCATGAATTTCAAATTATTAGCCAGTAAATTCCCCAAAAATAAAAAGTACTAGTCAATTTTCGAATGTCTTCACCAAATGCAAATCTCAACAATTTTTTACTAATTTTTTTTTCCTCCATAGAAAACTATTTTACAGTAGTTTGCTTCAGGCTTATATTATTTGGGCCTAATTTTAATTGGTTATGTGGCACATCTAAAGAAAATAATTGTAATCGAAAAAAATACTGATTTGTTTAGAAAAATTCCTTTTTAAGAAATTTTAATTTCTTTCCAGTGGAAAAAATCATTCGCAAATTTTACGATTTTATCACATTTGGCAAGGTGGCAAAATGCTCGGTGCGGGCCCAGCTATTGGAGAAATAGAGAAAACATTAAGAGTTATACATCATAACACCACATAAATTGAATTTGAATGAACGATCTGAATACTTTTCTTTTTAACTTCAGTTTTTTGTTGTTGTTTACCTGAGGATGAGTATATATAAAGCTGTCCAGCAAGAAATGCAAAGCCAATTGAAACTATATATCCAATTATATAGGGTGCATTGTATTTCATGAACTAAAAGAAATAAATATGTTTTAACATATAAAGATTTATAAAAATATTTATATATTTAAGCTACAAATAGCATATACACAATAAATGTAATAACTATAAAAGCATCGATTTTAAATACAGTAGAACCTCAATTATTTAAAGTTATTAGGACTAAACATACCTCAGAAAATCAAATTATTCGAATTACAGAGGTAAAACAGCTTTTTAATTTACTTTCACTAATAAACTCTGTAAAGTGAGTTTAATTTGATAATAGTGAGATAGAGTATTTCGAGTTAATTTTAATATGACCCTTTTCATTGATGTTTCCTTTGTAAAGTAGGTATTAAGACAGTATATAAGCAAAAAAGCCTAGGATCTTAAAAGTCTTCAGGATCTTGCTTGGAATAACTTCAGACAGTCACATATCAGTTTTTAATGTAGCTGCACACAACATAACATATAAGATTTACAGAATTAAGGTAGTCATTTGCACACGACCGCACGACTCGAATACGGCTGAAAAACGAAAGCGCCCGACTTAAAAGGGAAATCCCCAGTTTTTATGTTGGTTTATTTTAAAATTCACAAGTGTAGTTGCCCAAAAAACATTACTCTCTCGTTCCTCTTTCGAATAAACCATTTGTTCAATGAAGCACCTGTCACAGTGATGTGTGACGTTTTCTCTTTCTAATTGTTTAATTTAATCCCTTTTTAGTTTAATGTTAGTTGTTTGATGTCACAGCGTCGTGTTACGATTTTTTATGTCCGGAATTTTACTTAATTTTTTTAATTTTAATTCAACCTTTCATAGTTTATTTATTTTTGCACTTTTCTTTTTTATTTCTCTTCATTTTTTTTCTCTGTGAAGAGAATTGGAAATGTCTCGTTTTACTCTTAAGTTAGCAACACATTTTTGTGTTCTTCTCCTTTTCACCTTTTACAGTTCAAGGTCGTCTGACCCCACTGTCCTTCAAGGACGAATTCGTTTCCCTCACATTCTTTTACGTCACCACTTGAATTCTTGTCCCGTCACTTTCAAGTAACCTCCAAATTTTTGCACGTAGTCATTCTTCCGGTTGATTTTTCTAGAATTTTCTAGAATTTTTAGCGTGTTCACGCCTTTTTGTATGTGGGGGAGTACATTTGGCACTGATTGGTGGTGACCTAATCATGTGGTAATCCCCCATCCAATGACAGTCGTTTTCTATCCTGCCTGACAACTCGTACTTTCCCGCGCTGAAGGGACGCTGTGATCACTTCTCTTGGGTCACGGCTCGGCAACAGTTTGACAATTTTTTT